CCCTTTCTATTCTTTTCCTCTATTTCTTTGCACTGTTCATTTAAGAAGGCCCTCTTGTCTCTCCTTGCTATTCTTTGGAAGTCTGCATTCAGTTTTCTGTAACTTTCCCATTCTCCTTTGCATTTTGTTTCCCTTCTCTTCTCTGCTATTTGTAAGGCCTTGTTGGACAGCCACTTTACTTTCTTGCATTTCCTTTTCTTTGGGATGGTTTTTATTGCTCCCTCCTGTACAATGTTACAAGCTTTCATCCATAGGTTTTCAGTCACTGTGTCCACCAAATCTAGTGCCTTAAATCTGTTCTTCACTTCCACTGTGTATTCATAGGGATTTGGTTTAGATTATACAGCCCAGTGGTGTTTTTTACTTTCTTCAGTTTACGCTTGAGTTTTGCTATAAGACACTGATGATCAGAGCCACAATCAGCTCCAGGTCTTGTTTTTGCTGACTGTATAGAGCTTCTCCATCTTTGGCTGCAGAGAACATCTGGTGATGTCCATGTGTAGAGTCATCTCTTGTGTTGTTGGAAAAGAGTGTTTGTGATGACCACCTTGTTCTCTTGACAAAACTCTATTAACCTTTGCCCTGCTTCGTTTTGAACTCCAAGGCCAAACTTACCTGTTGTTCCTTTTATCTTTTGACTCCCTGCTTTAGCATTCCAGTCCCCTAGAATGAGAAGAACATATTTCTTTGGTGTCAGTTCTAGAAGGTGTTGTAAATCTTCATAAAATTGTTCAATTTCAGTCTCTTCAGCATGGGTGGTTGGTGCATAAACTTGGATTACTGGGATGGTGAAAGATCTGCCTTGGATTCATATTGAAATCATTCTATCATTTTTCAGAATGTACCCCAGTACAACTTTTCACACTCCTTTGTTGACTATGAGGGCCACTCCATTTCTTCTATGGGATTCTTGCCCACAGTAGTAGATATGATAATCGTCTGAATTGAATTCGCCCATTCCCATCCATTTTGGTTCACAGACGCCCAGGATGTCAATATTTATTTTTCCCATCTTCTGTTTGACCACACCCAGCTTACCAAGGTTCATAGATCTCCAGGTTCCTATGCAGTATTTTTCTTTGCAGCATCAGACTTTTCTTTCACTTCCAGGCACGTCTGCAGCTGAGCGTCCTTTCGGCTTTGCTCCAATCACTTCATTAGCCCTGGAGCTACTTGCACTTTTTCTCCACTGTTCCTCAGTTGCATGTTGGACGCCTTCCGACCTGAGGGGCTCATCTTCCAGCATCATATCTTTTAGCCTTTTGTTTCTGTTCATGGGGTTTTCTTGGCAAAGATACTGGAGTGGCTTGCCAATTCCTGCTCGGGGTGGATCGTGTTTAATCAGAACTCTCCACTATGACCTGTCCATCTTGGGTGTCTCTGCACAGCATAGCCCATAGCTTCTCTGAGTTACTTAAGCCCCTTCACCACGACAAGGCAGCAATCCCTGAAGGGGATGAATGTGGTAGACCAACAAAATTGGTGGTGGTGGTGAACTAACTTTTCCCACCACTCATTCACACTCCACCATTCCAAACTTTTCTTTGAAAATGTCATGTGTGCTACAAGTCAAATTGGGCTAGTGGATGAGATATTAACATAACAAAGTGCTGATTAGTAAAAACAAGAAGCACACATTATTATCTTTTCCTTTTCCCCATGCCTATTCACTGACAGCACATAGGAGAAATGCACCAATGTGCTGATCTGGCCAGTGGGCATAGTGAGGAAGTGTCATTTCCTTTTGTTGTTTCTCTTTTTGGCCACAAGGTGCTGCTGTGAGGCTAGAGTTACTGCTTTAATATCTCCTTTTGCCCCAAGCTGCAGATTTCCTTTCCTATACAGTATAAGGTTTAATGCTCTTTTGAAAACTATATAATGTTCCAGGATTCTCCTTACCATTAGGCAGATTGAAGCAATCACCTTAGAAACTTTTCTTGCCCCCCAAAACAAGAAGTACTGTAGCACCATAAATGCTAACAGATTTTATTTCGTTTAATCTTTCAAGAACCGCAGAGTAGGCTACAGTTAGTACTAAA